GAGGCTTGGATTTAATGTGGAATATCACGTGCTGACTGAGGGGGGCAGATTCTTCTTTAATCTTTGCTGTTGCCATCACAGCTCGCAATTAAGGTCACCACTTCCTTTTATTCTACACAGTTTATGGTCATTATAGGCTTGCCTATTTACGATTTTCTTGCAAGCTGTGCCTTTTCATTATGCTTTATACATATCTCACGTTGATGCTATCATATGGGATAACTGCTGAGCTGATTGACATGAGCGAACTATTTTTAGTAAATGGGTCGTGACACTGGAACAATTTGATGAATTTCTTTTTGATCCCACCGTATCCGTGGAGTTTATATTGTCAACTTGCTGATAATATGTTAAAGAGGTGATCCCACAATATCCCTTAATTTGATGGGTAGCACTCACTGCCAGCGAACCATCGGGCTAGATCCCCATCATTGATTCCCCTATCTCGGAAAAGCTCTCCACAGTAAGATGTTGCTCTCATGAGCACTTGCTTGTTCATAGGCCATGCTGCAGGATCCAAGACGTCACACTAGTGGATAGATTCACTGCCATATCCCCTATGCTTTTGGTAATTAGGCTGGTTGTTTGCCAGATTTCAATGGTAAGATTTTAAACTTCGGAAACTTGACAAGTATCTGATCTAGTGTTAACATTTAATAGCGGTTAAATGGTGAAACCGATCTTAATGAATTGGAAAACATTCTACGCAGACGTTTATGCTCTTCAAACTAACTACAGGAACATTTTTTCTATAGCATGCGTTAGAAGATGTAAGCCAAAAACTGAAAGACGAATACAGGGATAGATCGTATACTATAATGGGTGGTTGGGATGAATCCTGGAATTTTCGGAACCTCAGACAACAATATTAGACTTAAAATTACATAGGGGGCCTTACTGTCATCACACCTTATTAGATAAACCTCTGGATGACCATCATGGAATAAACCACTATCTAATAATTCATAATCCATTTAAGGACAGGATCTATGATGTTACCAATTTTAGTAAAATTTCCCAACTTTAACTTTAATACTTTTTCAATGAAATGGCGACCATACAAAGGAGGTAAAAATCAATTTCCGTTATTGATTAACAAACAAAACATTATACGCAGAATTTTGTGTTTTCCAAACTAACTACAGGTACATTTTTTGTATAGCATGCGCCGTTTAGGAGTTGTAAGCCGAAAACTGGTCAAATAATTAACCTTTTGACCATGTTGATGCAAATATCCCAACTTTGAAAAGCTACAGCGGGTAAACGGCTCGGCCGATTTTGACGTATTTAACATCAATCGACGCGGAATTTAATGCACTAAAAGACACCTTCGCACAACATTTTCCTTAGGATTCGTTATTTAGGAGTTATAAGCAAAAATCTGAAAAAAGTGCAAAATTTTCATAGTTTTTCGACTCCCAAAACTTAAGCAGATGTCAGAATCCGTCGCAAACTCACAGGAGTCTTATTTGGGACCCCCAAAAGGTATTAAAACACTTTCCAGCTTTAGACGATTTTTTGGGGAGCATATGTCTAATTTGCCTGGGCTAAATTTGCTAGTTAGAATTTTTTATTACTGCATTATTTCTTTACTTGAAAACACCACATTATCATAATACTACTTTTTGACAAAGACAGGGGTTGGTGTAGTATTATTTAGAAAATTTGGTTAAGCTATAATAAAAATTGGTATCGGTATCTAGAATCGAGAATCGATACATTTTGGTATCAACATCCACTAATTGTTGAAAAAACTAGTCTTGAAAAATCTGGAATTAGTCTTGAAAAGTCTGGAATTAGTCTTGAATTTTATAATGGAAATAAACTAGACACCCTGTACAGGGTTTACAGCTTCGATGGGAAAATCTTGAACGGGGGGTCATTCAGTGAATAGGAGGAGGTTTAATACAATTTTAAAATCCTATACTCTAATACGAGCAATGTTTGCTTGTACGCTTGCTTGCTTGCAGAAATATCTCGAAAACGGCTCCGACGATTTTCTTCAAATGTTGTAAATAGCTTATTTCTGGTCTAAAAACGAGTTTACTGCAGTTAGAACTGCCAACAAAAATCTAATTACGTAGAAAAATGAAACTGAAAATTACATTTTTTTAACATTAGTCTTATGGGTTGCTAGGTAACCATGTTGGATGAATTAAATAACAAGGATAAAGTAAACAAAAGACTTGAAGTTGTAGCATGTGTTCATAAAAGCCAACTACCCACAGTATACTAGCAAATTACAAATACAGAACAAGAGGAAAAACATCAGTTGTTACTATTGAGCAAAGATTATACTGAAGATTACTCGATACATTGTAGTCAAGGGCAGCAGTGCGAAGTTTGGGATCTGTTTATGATGATTAGATTAGATTAAGGTATCTGCAATCCTAAAATGCTATGGGAAGGGAAGGAAACAGGTCTGCGACATAAGAAGTGGTGAAGGAAGTAATAAAGGCAATCATAAAATGCTATGGGAATAGAGGGAAACAGGTCCGTGACGTAGGAAGTGATGAAGGAAATAGTAAAGGCGAGCAGTCTGGAGTGTGGGGACTGTTTATGACGATAAGATTAGGGTATCTGCAATCCTAAAATGCTATGGGAAGGAAGGAAAACAGGTCCGCGACGTAGGAAGTGGTGATGGAAGTAGTCTAGGTGAGCTATCCGGAGTGTGGGAACTGTTTATGACGATTAGATTAAGGTGTCTGCAATCTTAAAATGACATGGGAAGGGAGGAAAACAGGTCCGCGACATAAGAAGTGGTGAAGGAAGTAGTCAAGGCGAGCTGTTGGAGTGTGGGAACTGTTTTTGACGATTATATAAGGGTATGGGCAATCCTAAAATGCTATGGGAAGGGAGGGAAACAGGTCCGTGACGTAGGAAGTGGTGAAGGAAGTAGTCAAGGCGAGCTGTGTCCGGAGTGTGGGAACTGTTTATGACGATTATATAAGGGTATGGGCAATCCTAAAATGCTATGGGAAGGGAAGGAAACAGGTCCGCGACGTAGGAAGTGGTGAAGGAAGTAGTCAAGACGAGCTGTCCGGAGTGAGGGAACTGTTTATGGCGATTAGATTAAGGTATTTGCAATCCTAAAATGCTATGGAAAGGGAGAAAAACAGGTCCACGACTTAGGAAGTGGTGATGGAAGTAGTCTAGGTGAGCTATCCGGAGTGTGGGAACTGTTTATGACGATTAGATTAAGGTATTTGCAATTCTAAAATGCTATGGGAAGGGAAGGAAACAGGTCTGCGACATAGAAAGTGGTGAAGGAAGTAATAAAGGCAATCATAAAATGCTATGGGAATAGAGGGAAACAGGTCCGTGACGTAGGAAGTGATGAAGGAAGTAGTAAAGGCGAGCAGTCCCTGTGGGGACTGTTTACGACGATAAGATTAGGGTATCTGCAATCCTAAAATACTATGGTAAGGGAGGAAAACAGGTCCGCGACGTAGGAAGTGGTGAAGGAAGTAGTCAAGGCGAGTAGTCCGGAGTGTGGGAACTATGACATGGGAAGGGAGGAAAACAGGTCCGCGACATAAGAAGTGGTGAAGGAAGTAGTCAAGGCGAGCTGTTGGAGTGTGGGAACTGTTTGTTACGATTATATAAGGGTATGGGCAATCCTAAAATGCTATGGGAAGGGAGGGAAACAGGTCCGTGACGTAGGAAGTGGTGAAGGAAGTAGTCAAGGCGAGCTGTGTCCGGAGTGTGGGAACTGTTTATGACGATTAGATAAGGGTATGGGCAATCCTAAAATGCTATGGGAAGGGAGGGAAACAGGTCCGCGACGTAGGAAGTGGTGAAGGAAGTAGTCAAGACGAGCTGTCCGGAGTGAGGGAACTGTTTATGGCGATTAGATTAAGGTATTTGCAATCCTAAAATGCTATGGAAAGGGAGAAAAACAGGTCCGCGACGTAGGAAGTGGTGATGGAAGTAGTCTAGGTGAGCTATCCGGAGTGTGGTAACTGTTTATGACGATTAGATTAAGGTATTTGCAATTCTAAAATGCTATGGGAATGGAAGGAAACAGGTCCGCGACATAGGAAGTGGTGGTAAAGGCGAGCCGTGTGGAGTTTGGGAAATGGATTTATGTATCTCCAATACTAAGGTGCTTTCAGAGTGAACTAATGATTTTCCCCGAGCAAAACTCGGTCCCCAGGTACTTGTTTTATAATATGCTGTCATTCACTGCGATGATTTATGTGCAAAAAATTGTATTTTTCGATATTTTTTTTACACAATGCATTAAGTTGTATCATCAGGAAGTACAGGGATATATGGGCAATAAATTTTAACGATTTCGTACAATGTAGCTTAGTAGTATATTTTCCCATGTCGTTTACAAGTAGACATTCAACCTTAAACGGTCATCATTCGCTGGTGCACTCTCCCTACAGTTTTTTTATTTGTCAGTAAAAAAACTAATGAAAACAAATTAATGAAATCTATAGGTTACATTGGGCCTCAAATAATAAAAATGCTGGATGCTCCGCTCAGCTTTCATTCAAATTGGTAAACAAACTTCGTCAAAGCCCCAGTATATTTTAAAAAGCCACTATTTTAAAACGGTTCTGGAGTTCTTTATTTGGTACAAAAATAGCAGTCAATAAGATAAACATTTTTACATAATTTCAACGCTCGAGCTCAAGTTTTTGTCAAAATCACAAAACGGAATGGGGATAGGACACATGTTATATTACATTTGTTGTTTCGTTTGGCATGCTGAATAACATGACAAAGTTTGCTCATAAGGTTGCAAGACACTTTTATATCAGTTCTTGCGCTGGGTATCGCTAGTTTTTTATAAATAAGAGTCAACATTGATTATTTTACTAAAAAATTACCTCAACTAAGATATCAAGGGTTTTTGTCTAATAGCCACAATTTGCTAATTCTTGAAGAAATAATCAAAAGAAAGAAACTGGTATTCAAATGGACTCTGTACTTGGAAATACAACATTGATTTACATATTCTGATCAGGTCATTTGGGTTTCTAATGATTCTCAGTTGTGAAGAATCGTCAGTGAATCAAAGATGGTTGGAAAGTTTTTCTGTTTTGTTCTTCTCATAGGTTATACTTCTGGGTTTCCTGGTAAAATCAAGGAAAAAACGCAGGTTAGTTTGTTTTTTCTAGGTAAGGATTTTTACTTTCTCCCCCTATACATAGTATAAGGAAAGAAATTGTTTTAAATTGTATAAACCAACTAATTGCACTTAAGGTAGAATACAATTATTATTCGATTGGAAATTGCACTGTGTGAGCGTCAGGTGTGGTAGGTTAACGTTTTTATTTTGTATTCTTAATCCAGTTGAACAACAAATTAAAAAACTTATTCCGGTTTTAGTTTTATAGTTTGCTTTTAGTATGTGTATTGTTTTTTCTTAAACTTCATAAATTATCCAGGTGCATAGGCCTCCCCAAGAATAAAACACTGTTTTAAACCATCACAAGGAAAAAATGAAGCCAATCGTTTGGTACGTACCAAATGTTAGGAAAAACCTTTTTTCAGTGTTGTCTGCTCATTATAAGAACTCAAACAGCTTTTTTGAGTCCAACAAAAATCAATGTAAGTTTTATGCATAACAAGCATAACAACATCTTTAATTCAGTATTTTCTCACTACTATAAACCTGGAGGTTGCTTAACGTTTTTGCAAATAACTTTGAAACGGTGAGGAAATCGACCAAAGTGGAAGGTGATGGTGATATTTTGAAAGAGAATTAAATGTCCTACAAATATTATGAATTTCTTGAATATACTCAATAAAGGCAGCCTAAAGTTGGCTACAAATATAAAATTGAAAATATAAACCTAGAATAAAAGGAGTTTTAAATGTACTAGTGTACATGTTGCTCGAATTCGAGCTATTGTAAAGTATTACAGGATTTGCAAACCAATAACAATCATATTTTATTTAGCTATCAACATTTCAACAAAAACACACCTACCTTCCCTGTAGCAGCAAACCTAAGTACTCATATTAAAATTAACTTAATGTTATTTAAATAGGAAAAAATGACCATTTTCAGGGAATATCTTTATATAAATTAAGCCAGGTAAATGGAAATTCGCTTAGTCTGAAGGTTTGCTGCGGATACACAATTTTAATAACAGCAAAGTTTGAAGAATCTGAGTTATTACTTATATCCATGAATTTATCTAACAATTATTTCCTGTAAAATATTATTACAGCAGTTCAAAAATATTGTAACAAACTCGATCAACAAATGATGTAACTGAAAGAATTCCGTACTAATGAGATTAACATTATTTTTTCAGTTCCATTTAATCAATGTTAAATGTTTACATTCGGGCATAGACAAAAATGATTCGGGCGAGTGATATATTTTATTAATGTTTATGATCCCTACCGTTCCTGTTCTAATAATCATGCAGTATTTAATATATTTGAACCAACTGTGTGGAATTGTGAAATCAAAATTTATTTGACAGTTCGTTCTGCTTGTTTACATTTTTAAATTTTGTGGGTTTGTCTTTGTTACCATGGATACCATCAATAAATATTTCACTTTTAATTTCTGACAACAGCTGGAGTTCCATAACAAATTTTGTTTCCCATGTTAATCTCATGGATAAATACGAAACTTTAAAGGGCTCCAGGGCCTCACTCTCTAATTATTTCTTTAAAAAGAAAGTTTCCTGCACAACTTCACGTTACGCTCTTTCCAATGACACCAAAAACATGTCAATTGGTTCAGTAGCTTCGGAGGAGTAATTGTCACAAAAAACCTGCTTGCGTATTAAATAAGTATAGATTATTTTTTTATTTTTTTACCTTAAATATCTAATAAAATCAAACTTTCATAATTATTTGCAAATCTACACGAATTAGGCTTTCCAACGACCCATTTAGTAGGTAACAAAATCGGTCCGGTAGAAGTCTACATTTAGTTGTACAAAGTTTAACAATAATTAATTTTAAATAAATTTTAAGTATTTTTAAGTATTTTCTCACTACTATAAATTTGGAGATCACTTAGATTATTGCCAATATCTTTTAAATGGAGGGTAATCGACCAAAGTGAATGTGATATTCTGAAAGAGATTAAAATTTACTACAAATAACTACTATGCAATTCTTGAAAATACTTAATAAAGGCAGCCAAAAGCTGGCTACAAATAGAATCTTGAAAACAGAAACTTGAAAACCCCAGTTTTTAATGTATTTTTGTTATTTTTAATTTTTCACCACAAATATTTAATAAAATCACAATTTTATAATTATTTGCAAATCTACATGGGTTAGGCTTTCTAATGACCCATTAATTAACAAAATTCAAATCGGTCCTGTAGAAGTCTAGATTTAGTTGTACAAAATTTAACAAAAATATCCCAAACTCAATAGGCTATTTTCTCATTACTATAAATTTGGAGGCATTTTTGAGAAAATCCGATTTTTCCGGTTTTTATGGGAAAATCCCCATTAAAAATTAAAATTTCAAAAAAATGAAAAAACGCCTGGAGATACCATGGATTATAACCTACATACTAATACTACTATATAATACTACATACTACTACTACTACATAGGTAATAATGTAGCGTGGCGTAATAGCTATTTACATTACAAGTGTAGTAAGAGCGATTTTACACCACGCAGGTGAATACTGAATGTTGTGCAACGAGCGGAAGCGAGTTGCATAATTCACCTAAGTGGTGTAAACACGCTCTTGCGTCGTGTAACGTACAAGACATTTTGAATTAGCACTTTTTATTATTATGCTAATGCTAACCTGACCTGACAATATACATGGGGTTACGTACAATATTTTTCATTATCCATTTCATTCATCTTCTAACAGTAACGTTCTTTTACAAACAAAAGCTAGGTTAGGAAAATACTTTAAAGCATAACAATAACATTCAGGCGCACAGCTGATTTATAGCGTTGAACGTAGTTTTCAACTTTACATCACTCGGGAAGTAAAGAAGTTGTATACATCACGCTTGGGATAGGGAAGTTTAACATGGCGGGTTAGGTAAATATATTTACACCACACTACATTATTTTGACGAACTTCCCACTCAAGGATTTAGTCCAGAAAACAGCTGTTTGCCGCCAGCTTATTCAAATGGGGTTTCATTGCGTACTACTGTACTGCAATGAGTTTTGCCGGACACCAATCAGCTGATTATACTGTATTTAGTTGGCAGTGAGTGGTTATAAACAAAAATATAGGTTATGACTAGTGATTTTTAGTCCTTTAGTTAGTGGAAATATATAAGGATTTGTACAGATTTAGTAGTATGGCGTAAACTATCGTACGTAACTCGTCCAAAATGTGTGTACCGGACTCGTATGGTAATCCCGTACTCGACTTCGTCTCGCACGGGAACGACCACACTCGTCCGGTAAACACTTATTTTCAGGACTAGTAACGTAATATACTATTACGCCACACTACATTATTTTGACGAACTTCCCCAGCAAGGATTTAGTCCAGAAAACAGCTGTTTGCCGCTTATTCAAATGGGGTTTCATTGCGTAATACTGTTCTGCAATGAATTTTGCCGGACACCAATCAGCTGATTATACTGTATTTGCGTGGCAATGATTGGTTATCAAACAAAAACATAACCTCTCTTAGAGGTTATGACTGGTGATGTTTAGTCCTTTAGTTGGTGGAAATATATAAGGATGTGTATGTGTACGAATTAAGTAGTATGGCGTAAACTATCGTACGTAACTCGTCCAAAATGTGTATACCGGACTCGTATGGTAATCCCGTACTCGACTTCGTCTCGCACGGGAACGACCACACTCGTCCGGTAAACATTTATTTTCAGGACTAGTAACGTAATATACTATTACTATACGCCACACTACACTATTTTGACGAACTTCACACGCAAGGATATAGTCCAGAAAACAGCTGTTTGCCACCAGCTTAATCAAATGGGGTTTCATTGCGTACTACTGTACTGTAATGAGTTTTACTGGACACCAATCAGCTACTGTATTATACTCTATTTACTATGGCGTAATCTATCGTACGTCACTCGTCCAAAATGTGTTTACCACACTCGTCCGGCAAACACTTATTTTCAGGACTAGTAACGTAATATACTATTACTGAAATCACAACATATAAGTACATATGTTGTGATTTGTGTAAATGGTTTTTTTTTTTAATCAGGTATTGAACGGATTTTATATATAGGTACCATACAAACAATACCTTACTTGTTGCAACAAAAACCAATAGTTCTTACTAGTAATGTGTTTTTCTTTAGTTTTATCGTATCATGTACCTATTAACAAATTTTAAAACATTCAACTTTGGTCCTAAAAACTGTATTTTATTTTATTTTACTTATTAATTCCCAACGAAAAATTACCAATACAAACACGAAATTTCAACAAGTAACATAACTTCATCATAGAATAAGTTAATCGTAAATCAAACTTAATGAGTGTGGTGTGTCATGCATATTATTACCAGATAATATTATTAGTGATACCAGATATTATGATAATTAATGAATGATTAAATTAATGAAAAATTAATGATACCAGATATTATTGGTAGTCATATATTTTATTTTTTTTAAACCTCCTCTCTAATTACTCTTACTCTTACTCTAATTACTTCTACTTTCACACTTGATTTAAGAGATAACCTTCCTCACAAATCTCATGGAAAATTATTATCTAGAATAGTGTAAAATCTCCAGTTATAAATGGTTTAAGCTGTTTTATAATAAGTAAAAATAATTTCATATAATTTCAGGCTTCATCAAGCAATACACCTACGTCAAGCGCATGTGATGATATTCAGTGTGGATTTGGAGAGAAGTGTGTACTCATGAAAGTACAGTGTATTCGAGCCCCTTGCCATCCCATACCTTCATGTGTGCCTGACAACTGATCTTTGTAACATGGAAATACAAAGTATTTTGTGAACACAGTCTTGTAGTTTTTCACATGTTTAAAATGAAATTGATATAGAATAGAGCTAACTGGTTTTTATAGTAAAAAATAAAATGTAAATAGTGTTCAACAAAACATAATTTTAGCCTAATGGACCAGTGAACTGGAAAGATGCCAGAAGCTCATGTACAGTCCAGTATTGTTCTAATATTAATCCCATAAACTTCATACTGTAATTGTTGTGAACCAATTTTCAATTTAAATTAACTACCCACATAAGAGCTATACCTACTTTGGGAAAATTTCAATACAAGACGGTTATTATTCTCTTGAAACAATTCTTTTTAGTAGTAAGGCACAGCTAATTTTATTACAAAGGTTTACAGAGCAATTTTCATTAGTAATATTTAATTCAGCATTTATAACTTCAAAGTGCTGTTTCTTAACCTCCAGACACTAGTAGATTTATTTTTAAACACCTTTTCTAGTTTAAAAGTCAAACTACTTGTTACTTGTTATTAAAATGTCCTATCAGGACACTAGCTGATTGATTCAACTTCCAGACGCTTTATTACATCAGTATTTAGTCCTGTAATTTACACATAGATCCATGCTCAAAACGAATATACGGACTTACAAAAATGAATACCAATAGACCAAACTGTACTTAAGATTGCTACAAGGAAACAAAGAATTGTTTCATTGGTTGAATTATAAAAGCATATAAAAAACAAACTAATTTGCAAGTTTACTTAACTCAATGAAAACATGGGAATAAAATAACAATCTAAAGTTCTAAGTGGTGGTCTTTTTAAGCTTACGATTTGCACCTGATCTTGGTAAATTTTTTACTAAGGGTATTTTTCAATATCTTGAGTAGGTATCGGCATAGATAAAACATACTCCCTTAGTAGATTTCTCATCCTTATGGAACAGCTGAAGACAATTTTATTGTTAGTTCATGTACGGTTTATGTAGAGGTCGTGTTTTGTTTACAATTTGTTTCCCGTTATTACAGCCATTTAAAACCTCGTTTAACAAAATAATACGATCTAATCATAAACAATAACTTGTCCCCTAGTTATATAACCAAACAGTAAAGCACAAATCAAGAAATTAACCCTAAAATAATGGAAACAAAGTTTCATCGACACTAGCGCCTTTGTGTCACGTACATGAACTAGATACGAAAAACGTGCTTCAAAATTTACAATGGGATGAGAAGTCTACTTGTGTTGGTTAGTCTATGGTATCGGTATCTCAACATCTTTTTACTTTCTCCCCGTATATTATATCATAGGGATTTTTTTATATGATTGTTGTTTTTATGGAGAAAGTACTGTTTTCATAAAAAAAATTGAGTTTGAGTTATGAGTGGATATACCCCTTTTGGGTCCCTCTGGACCCAAAAAGTGGTTTTTGAAGTGTTGTCTGTATGTGTGGATCTGTTGTCCGATTTTGATTAAATTTGGTATGTAGGTACACTAATCTATGGCATCTTCAGGTGTTTTTTTTTCATTTTGTTGACATTTTGATTTTAATGGAGATCTCCTCATAAAAACCCATAAAATAAACGAAAAATAGGATTTTCTTAAAGATGGTTCCAAACAAAATGGTGCAACCCTCATTGCTGAAGCAATTACGGTTCAAAAGTTATTGCAACTTTTGTGATTTTCCCTATAGAATATCAGTTATTTACTCCCACCGCTTACCCATGGTTGTTGGCAAGCTAATGGGAGAAAGTTTCTTGTGTCAGATTGATCATAATGTTTATTTGAATTTTTTTTTCAAGTATAATTCCCTTCCCTTGATTACAGGATTTACTCCCATAAATGGTATAGCATTGATTTCAATGAAATGTATTTAAATGACATTAGGTTTAACGAGTACCTAGGTTTGCTGCTACAAGGAAACTAATAAAGTGTGTTTTAAGTGAAATATTAATAGCTTAGTAAAAATGAACAAATTTGCCAAGTTTGATCAAAATATGCCTATGAACAAGCAAACTACAACATTTTACATAACTCTCCATAAAAATAAACATGGAAATATTAAATTTAAATGTTTTTTTAATTTTCTCCGTTACCAATAACTGTAAAAAAACACTATGATATACTTAATTATTTGTTTTTTACGCTCTTTAAAAAGGTCTAATGAGAAATCGGGAAATTTTGTTTTTCGAGAGTCAAAAATGAGAAAACCCAATTTTTCCCCAATAAAACCCCCGTAAAACCCCGTTCTCATGGTCCAATCACGCTGGCTCGCAAACTCTTTCAATTTTATCCCACCTTACACATTTTAAACCAAATTAATCAAAATTGGTAAAAAATTACTCAAGTGGATGATGGTTTATTGTTAGCAGCTGTTAGTTGTAATTGTTGGTGCAGTCCAACGGCCGAAGTTACCCCGGAGGTTTTGGATTCGCCCCAATTAGTTCCAAAACCTTCTCATTTGTCCATTCCATAGCTCACCACTAATGCCTCGAGGATAGACTGAGTTGAAAGGCGACTGAGATAAGTCTAGGGGCGCTAGAGGGTGGTAGGGACGTGGTGGGCGTTGGTATCTTGCCGTTTGGCACGTCTCCACACCATGCCATCATGCCGCTTGGCTTCCTTTAATCCGGACCTGATCAGCGAGTCTGACTTCTGGCTCTACTTTCTCTTTGTAACATTTTTCTAATTAGTGAAAATATTCAAATCCGACAGTATAAACTAATATCTTACTCTCCTGTTCATTTTGATAGCAAATTTGAGGATATATGAAACATGTTTTTAATCAACTGCTTAAAAAACACATTTAGAACATGTGTAAAATTTAAAAAAATTGCCTAGATTGTGTTGTATAAAAAAAGTAGATTGAAGTCGGTTACCGCAGCTGAAAAGATTATCTTACTTTAAAACTATATTTTATCTATATATTAATAGACAAGCATGTTTCTTAAAAAATCTTTTTTCTCAGCTCGTGTGCATAGCAGGGAAAATCTATGCATACTGTTGGAAAGATATTTTCCTGTAGAAGTGCAGAATCCCTTTATAAATTAAAATAAACTCAAGCACGAAAAATGTATTCAAAATGTAAAAAAAATAACATGGGCCTTATGGGTTGATATGCTGGTGACGAAATAACAACGGAATAAAAAAGTATTGAAAGTATCATGAAAACAATATTATACAATGTCACAATAATTAAAAAAAAACCGTTTGTTAAAGGAAACCGCAGGGTACTGTTTAATTAGTAGAGAGATAATAGCGTAATTGTATTGACTAATGAGCTAATTAAATGTGAAGTGTCTTCTTTGTTGTGAAGGGCTTCAAGTTGCTGAGATTCCCTGTCATATTTTCTGTGAGCGGGGTTAGTTGTCTTTATAACAATAGTTGCAGTGTTGTAGCATTACATGTCATTCATTCACCAGTAATATTAATTTCTTATAATTTAATATGTTTTCTCCTATAATGTTTGTTTTCCATCCCATAATAATATTTGTATAAAAACAATTTGCTTTTGAAATGTTCAATTGAATTTGAATATCATCAATGTTTGCTTGCTTCATTTTGAGTCCCTGCCCGGGAGATAGCCAGGTTTATAGTGAACGTAAAAGTGACATGAAAGATTTACGACCCAAGTGATTGGCTGGTCTCACCCTCAAACTGAGAAATATGTCTGCGCCTACACCTGGGACTCGCTCATCATTATAATAACAATAAATCTTAATATTGTTCACAGCATGACACGAATCTCTGCCAAATTACGGACTAAAATATTAAACTTTGAAAAACTGTTAAAAGGGTAATAAATTATTGTTTACATAGTGTAACAATGTTCATCCTACTCGATTTAAAACTGTAACACTGTACAACATTGCATTTTATAATATAAGCAATGAACAGTCTATCTAATTTTATGAGAAATAATTAAATAATTACAATAATTTAATAATAAAAATATAGTTATCCTTTTAGCGAATTTCCCTATGGGGAAGTAAGCTATTACCGTAGGTGGCATGGTAAGACCTAGACCCGGGACCGATTTACTTTTTTGTTTTGATGTCCCCAGAGGCCAAAAACACCTTTCGTTAAAATTTTTATATATAGATTTATATATATATATATATGTGTCCGTGAACGCGATAACTTGAGTAATTTTTGTCTGATTTTGATAAAATTTGGTTTAAAGGTGCAAAGCAAGATAAACTTGAATGAGTTCGCGAACCAGCATGATCGGACAATGTGAACGGGGGTTTATGGGGTTTTTTATGGGGTAAAAATAGGGTTTTCCCATTTTTGACTCTAAAAACACAAAATTTCTCAATTACTTTCCAAACCATTATGTAGAGCTTACAGAAACAAATAATTTAGTATATTGAAGCGTTATTATGCGCTTAAGGGTTACGGAGAAAATTCAAAAAAATTTTAATTTTAAAATTTGCATGTTATTCTTATGGAGAATAAGTCAACTGTTGTAGTTCGCTTATTTATGAACATATTTTGATCAAATTTGGAAAATTCATTAATTTCTTACTAAACTACAGTACCTATTAACATTTTACATTAAAAACACTTTTTTACCCTCCCTGTTGCAGCAAACCTAAGTGTGTGAACTTTACTTCTTTCTATGTTAGATCTTTGGATGTAGTTCAAATTGCTTCTACTCAAAGCTCTGGCCCGAGTAGGGGACACAATCTAAAAATATATATAATTTGTACTGTACACTGTCTTTATCCACATTTCTTAGACTAACAAGGTACCTGTTGCCTTCCATTGTGTAATATAAAATATGAAAACACTTAAAACGGGAAAATATCATCAAAAGTAACATTAGAACACCCAAAGCCTGCATCTCCATTGGAAAAAGCTTCTAAATACTGTACTTTGATGCCGCAAGGATTGTTATAAAGAATAATGTCAGTGTAAATCCTAACCAACGATGTTTTCAAAGAGAAGCCGTAAGCAGTGTACTTAAGTTTATATATATTATAATCGTTACCTTATTTTAATTAATCTACTTTATTAACTGAACAAATTTGTATTCATACA